TCCCATCCCAGTCCATCCCAGTCCATCCCAGTCCATCCCAGTCCATCCCAGTCCATCCCAGTCCCATCCCAGTCCATCCCAGTCCATCCCAGTCCCATCCCAGTCCATCCCAGTCCGTCCCAGTCCAATCCCAGTCCATCCCAGTCCCAGCTCACACATAGGCCGACTCGCTGGACTGGGTCCTGCCCGGTGCCGGCCCGGCTGGCTCTGATCCCAGTCCAATCCCAGTTGATCCCAGTCTATCCCAGTCCCATCCCAGTCCATCCCAGTCCCAGCTCACACGTAGGCCGACTCGCTGGACTGGGTCCTGCCCAGCGCCGGTGCCGCTGGCTCTGATCCCAGTCCAATCCCAGTTGATCCCAGTCTATCCCAGTCCCATCCCAGTCCACCCCAGTCCATCCCGGTCCCATCCCAGTCCATCCCAGTCCATCCCAGTCCCAGCTCACACGTAGGCCGACTCACTGGACTGGGTCCTGCCCAGCGCCGGTGCCGGTGCCGCTGGCTCTGATCCCAATCCCCGTCCCATCCCAGTCCCATCCCAGTCCATCCCAGTCCATCCCAGTCTATCCCAGTCCCATCCCAGTCCATCCCAGTCCCATCCCAGTCCATCCCAGTCCCATCCCAGTCCATCCCAGTCTATCCCAGTCCAATCCCAGTCCATCCCAGTCCCATCCCAGTCCATCCCAGTCCATCCCAGTCCCATCTCACACGTAGGCCGACTCGCTGGACTGGGTCCTGCCCAGCGCCGGTGCCGGTGCCGGTGCCGGTTCCTTCCTGCGGCCGTCCCCCAGCAGGGATTTGCGGCGCGCCCGCGCCCCCCTGACGGCCGCGCGCACCTTGCGCCAGCCCAGGTGGTTGAGCTCGGCCAGGTTGAGCAGCACGCACACCCCGGACACGGCGAACATGAACACCAGGAACACGCTCTTCTCCGTGGGCCGCGACACGTAGCACTCGACCTCCTTGACACACGGGTACCTGTCACACTCGAAGATGGCCGGCACGTTGAAGCCGTAC